GGTTGGAAGCAGCCTGTCACTTCATTCTTAAGTTCCTCAACACTCAAAGCTGCCCTACAAATGTCTTGTCTTACTATAGATTTACTACATGTGCCTGGAGAATTCCCCAGCCCAAGCAGAGGGGTGCCTCTATATCACCAGCAGGCAGGGCTCAGGTCACCTCCAGCCTCTCACCCTCTCCACCTGCGTCCTCTTTCAAACCCTGGCCTGGCACCCTGGCTCCTTATCTGGATTCCACTTCTCAGGTTCCACTTCTGCCTCAGCCTTTTTCTGGAAGGCTGCCCACTTCTCAGTCTCCCTGGGCGCTGCCTCCAGGGTGAGCAGGGGTTCCACGCCCTGTAACCAGCTTAGTCCTGTCTCCTATCAAGTCTGAACCCTGTCCACAGTCAGGCGCCCCAGTTCCCATAGGATTCCCTACAAGGGAATTAGGAACACTTTTATGAGCTCAGGGCCAAAATGGAGCATTGTACTTGGCTTTGCCCTTTCAGGGGCTGGGAGAGGGTGAGGCTTTCCTATTTCCAGCCTCCTGTTTCCTTTCTCTGCTGCTTTAGATATCCAAAAAGACTATTTTTAAAGAAGCAGAGGTCCTGCCTAGACTTCCCAGGTCAGTAAACAGAAGCGTGTGTTTAGAGATGGAGGGTGAGACCACAAGAAGGCACTGTGCCTGGTCAGAGAAGATGTCAGACACGGCACAGGGAAGCTACACAGGAGAAATCCTTCTGCTCTGAGAGCAGGTGTAGGAGCCGCATCCCACACAGGTAGCTGTCAGTGGGATCAGCCCCTCCCTGTCAGCATAGCCTGGGACAGGGGCAAGGACGGAGGAGTCCAGGACCTACTGCTGAAGGTAGAGGGGAGGTTGTGGCCTTAGCTCATGGCGAAGGAGCCTCCGGTGCACCAAGAGCTTGTGACTCTGGGTGAGCAGCCACCCCGAGGGTGAGCAACCTGCTGGCCCTGCTGACTGGCTCTTGGCTTTCTGCCCGGCAGCTAGGAAAACCTGGTGGGTTGGTTTCTAGAGCTCGTCCACTTCCTGGTTCTCATACCCTCGGGTTGAGAGTTTGGATGGTTCACCTGTGAGTCTGCAAAAGGATGGGGTTCGGGTTCAGAACGTGTGATGGAAGATTACTGAAAGGGTGGAAACAAGGGGGGATTAGAACTCTTAAGATTAAAGCTGGGTGTGGCGGCACATGGCTCTAATACACTCAGGAGGCAAAGGCAGGTAGCCAGACCTCTGTGCGCTTGAGGTCAGCCTAGTCTGCATAGAGAGTTCCAGGCCACCCGGGACTACACAGTGAGATCCTGTCTCAAAAAAAAAAAAAAAAAAAAAAAAAAAAAAAAGCCTGTGTTGTAAAGATACCGGGAGACAGCCACACATTGGCCAGCAGCCCTTCCTGCTCTGGGCCATGGGTGGTCCAGTATCTCTCTTTTGCTTTGGTTTGTTGAAACAGACAGGCACCTTCCCACCCTCCCCTATCTGCAGTCCTTTCAATGTGCACAATAAACCTCTTTGCTTAGTCAGTGCTTACTAAATATGGTGGAAGTGTCTCAGCAGGCTCCCAGTGAAGTGCCCAGGGCCCGAAGATGGTTCAGCCTCCCTCCAGGAACATTCTCACTCTGTCCCAGCCCTGTAACTCAGGCCAATGAAAAAATCCTTCAAGGCAAGATGCTTTATTCAAATATAGCTAATTATGGAATGAGCACCTGCCACCCTTAGCTTCCTCTTGCCGGGAACACCTAGGGCTCCATGTGCTGTACAGAATGGGTGCTGAATGAGCTGGTCACTAGCCCATCAGAAAGCAACCCCCCTCTCAGGAACTGTAGAGACAAGCAAGCAAGAAAGAGAGAGACAAAGACCTATCTTGACGGAGGATGGGGCCCATGTCCCTGGTACAAGTGAACAGAGTTATAGCAAAGTTAACAAACATCATTTGAATGCTCCTTCCATGCCAAGCCTTGTATTAAGTACTTTATGGTCCTTATTTTGTATCCCACACCTACTGACCTGATAACGAAGATCTAGGCCGTGGAGCCAGGCATTAGTTTAAACCTATCCTTGCCTCTTGCACATTGTGTACTCTCAAGAATATTCTTACCTTCTTAAAGGCTCAATTTGCTTATCTGTAAAATGGAGTAATAATAGTACCTACGCCATAATATTCTGAGGATTACATCAGAGAAATGCATATAAAATGGTGAGACGCGCCTCCGGTCCAAGGCAGGCAGTCGACAAGCATTAGCTAGCCTTACTGCTATTGCCTTTGATAGCTTCTATCTTGGGCTTCTGTAACAAAGCCCCACACACTAGATGGCTCCAGGTCACACAGATGTGTTGTCGTATGGTTCTAGAGGGTAGGAGTCCAAAATCAAGGTGTTGGTGGGTTGGGTCCTTTGGAAGACGGGGAGGAATAGTCTGTTCCGTTTTCTGGAGTTCCCCTCCTGACCTGGCCAGATGCTCTTTGCTGCCTTCTGGGAGCCTCAGGCATTCCTTGTGACCCTCACAGCTGGCTGTCTTCTGTCTGTGTCCCTTCCTACTGTTCTTCCCTGTGTCCATATTCCCCTTTTATAAGGAAGCCAGGCACATCATTGGGGCCCACTCTAATGACCTGCTTTTAACATGATTGCCTCTATAGAGATCCTGTCTCCAAATCAGGTCACATTCTCGGGTACTGACTGTTGATAGTACCCACGTATCTTTTAGGGGAGACATGATTTGATCTATGATACAAGGCTACATAACATGTTCAGTCATGTGATTTGTTGGTGATGAAACTGGTCCTGTAGCCATTGATTTTTAGATCACAGAAAGACTGAGGCAGCGGTGACTAGCACTGAAACGTGACGGTGTTGTCATCTACACAGGGGTTGGGCCGCACTCAAAGCTAGCCTGGGACCCGTGTGGACTGTGGGCCACAAGCTAGACTAGCAGGAGGGGGTCAGAGCCTGCCGGTTTTGGTGATGGCGTTTTCTCTGTATTTTTCCTTCTTCCACAGCTTGCCTGCTCCAGGCTGAGCTGGTAAATTATGAGCGAGTCAAGGAGTATTGCCTCAAGGTCCTGAAGAAAGAAGGAGAGAACTTCAAGGCCCTTTACAGGTCTGGTGTGGCCTTCTATCATCTTGGGGACTATGACAAAGCTCTCTACTACCTAAAAGAAGCAAGGACCCGACAGCCAACAGGTGAGACAGCTCTCCCTGCTTTCTCATCACAGACACCCCTGACAGTTCATAGGGCCTGCTCATTGCAGAAGATGGCGTCTGCAGCTGGCTGGGCAAGGGGGGCCCAGTAACGGCTCAGGCATAGGTAAGACCTGGAATAAGGAGAGCACACGGTCCATGCCTTCACCTGGGGTCTAGTTCCTAGGGACCCTGGGCACCTCTTCTCTTCAGATATACTTGGGTTTTGCCTTTTGTGATTGGGTTTTGCCTTTTCCCAACTCAAAGCTAGGTCTCTTCACTCATTCAATACATAGATAATTTGTACCAGGTACCAGGGATGTAGATGAGAAGGTGTCGCCCCTTTCCCATGAGTCCACAGTTGGCTGACAAGACAGATGTGAACAGAAACTTTTGATGCTAATAAGCTCGGCATCTTTCAGGAACCATACACCGACTACTCCAATCAGACTGCATTCCTTTACATTGTGTGTTTTAGCTCTCCCATCATCCATTCATTCCCTGGGTATTTGTCGAGGTAGTGCAATGGGCCAGGAACTATTCGAGGTGGTGAGTACATTAGCAGTGAGCCAAGAAGGCTGCTGCTGGGCCCGGTGCCCTGTGCTTTTAGTCCTAGAGTTCAGGAAGCGGTGGCAAGAGGCTTGCTTAAGCCTAGGAGTTCAAGACCAGCCTGGACAAGACAAGGGAAAGTTATTTATTTGGGTTTGTGTTTTGGTTTGGGTTTTGTTTTTGTTGTTGTTGTTGTTTGTTTGTTTGTTTTGAGACAAGGTCTTGTTGTGTCAACCAGACTGTACTCAAACTCCCCATCCCCCTGCTCAGCCTCTCAGGGGCTGGGATTACAAGTGTATGCGACCACACCCAGCAAGGAACGTTCATTACAAGGGAAGAAGTATACAGACAAGTAGTTGGTGCATTCTTTAGCAGTAGTAAATGCTACGAAATAAAGCAGAGTAGAGGGAACGCTGTTTTAGAGCAGGTGGCCAGAAAGCCTCTCTGACGAGGTGAACCGTAGGCAATGACTTTGGCCCGTCGTTATTGTTAATGTAGCCGATTCCTTAAGACAGCAAGATTTCCTCCAATCCATGTCTTTAAGAACTTCTCAAGTTGCAAACATCCAAGCATATTCTTCTCTTGTCTTTTTAAAGAACACCTCTCTATTTTTACGTATGGCCTGTTCGTTTTCTGTATACGAAGTGTGGTCAGCCAACCACACTATAAGCAACTTTGGGACTAAAAGCAGACTCCTCCAACCGAGTTTTCTTGAGCACCTGCTGTATGCCGGTACAAGATGTTATGCCTGGAGCTTTTAAGCATGATGCTATGTCATTTTTACTCCCACAAGTAGGTATCCCAGGCAGCAGTGTGGTCCATGCATCGTCGTAAGTGCAGAACTCAATGATTCTAGCATGCCGTGCACCACTCAGTTGAAGGACTGGAATTAGGACAAAATGCTTCAGCTTGAGAAGTGGTTATCTGGCTGTCCTTCCAAAGGCAGAAATAAGCATGGAGCAAAGTCATTTTAAGCTCCTAAGTTAAGTAAAACGACACATTCCACTAATGTTCATTGATCGCTATGTTAAGCACTTTTAGATTTCCCTCTTCTGGCCCTCACAGCACTCTATGAGAAGGGTATTATGATACCTAAGAGAATCAGGCTTGGGCAGACATGCCAATCACTATATGTCTCCTTGAGCATCTTTCTTTCTTTCTTTCTTTCTTTTTTTTTTTTTTTTTCCGAGACAGGGTTTCTCTGTGTAGCCTTAGCTGTCCTAGAACTCACTCAGTAGACCAGGCTAGCCTTGAATTCACAGAGATCCGCCTACCTCTGCCTCCTGATTGCTAGGATTAAAGGCATGTGCCACACCACTGCCTGGCTTCCTTAAGCATTTTTTTAAAACGATTTTTTTTTTGCCACAGAGTCTCCACATAGCCCTGGCTGTCCTGAAACTCACTATGTAGACCAGACTGGCTTCAAACTCACAGAGATCTTCCTGTCTCTGCCTCCCAAGTGATGGGATTAAAAGGGTGTGCCACAATGCCTGACTCCCTGAGCATCTTAATTTTTCCAGGTCCCAGTCTTCCTTTTGCCATAGTGAGGGCTCGGGATACATACCTTAAAAGAACTAGATGAGATAATGAAGGCTTAAAAACCCTGTGCAACCAGGCACAGTGGTGTACAACTGTAGTCCCAGGTGCCTGGGAATCTGAGGCAAGAATATCACTTGATTCCAGGAGTTCTCAGCCAGCCTGGGCAACCCCCTCCATTAAAAATGTTATGTTTGCTTAGGTTTTTGAGATAGGGTTTTGTGTAACCCAGGCTAACCTCAAACTGGATATGTATTCAAGGATGACCTTGAACTGTTCCTCATGTTTCTACCTCCCAGGTGCTGGGATTTACAGGTACATGCCACTACATCCAGCTGTAAGCAACATTTTTTTTTAACTCAAAAGAAAATCACAAGTAGCTATGAAAATTGAATATTGTTTCTTGCAAATGAGACCCAAGGGTAGAGAAGTTGGTGGCTTACCTGAGGGTTAATGCCAAGCAGACTCTCATCTAACTGCTGACACAGGGACCCTTGAGATTACTTCCTGCTCACCCGGTCACAGTAGGCTGGTCACATTTGCTAGAGAGAAGCAGTGAGGAAAAGGCTGGCATCTGGCTACCACTTAGGGCAAGGCAGAAGGGACCTTGGGTGAACGAGTCTAGTCTGTCCCCAAGTTTTGGGCACAGCTTTTGCCCACTTCTTTGAAGACACCACCATAGTCCTGGCTGGGTAGTCCCTGAGTCGTGTTTTCTGTCCCCACAGACACCAATGTGATTCGGTACATCCAGCTGACGGAGATGAAGCTCAGCAGATGTTCCCAAAGGGAGAAAGAAGCCATGTAATGAAGAGGCCTCTATCGAGCCACACCCGTACCTGACTAGGGACTTCCAGGCACCCTTGGCGGAGAGTCCCAGTGTGGGTTCTCTCCCCGGTTCTTCCTGTACCTCTTCTTCCTGTTGCTCCCCAACTCCGTCTACTCCTAGTGTGAGAAGGTGAGAGGCACTCCTGGACCTTGGTGGGTGGCCCAAACATGGACTTGTCCCCTTCCCTAGCAGGCCAGCAAATGGCACGGCTGGGAAAGAGTCCCATGGACTGGGGACGGTACTGTGGCTTCGACTTGGGCCAACGTTTCTGAGCCTGGCAAAGTGTGCGGAGCCAACAGTCTGGACCCTTCTACACCTTCTTGATGAACCAGAGCATCCTGAGGAAACTGGAAGCAAATCTGGGGCTGACGAACGGGAGGAGCATCATTTGAAGCAATGCTGAGATTGTGAATTTTCGCCCCCTCCGTCACCTGAGCTCCTGCCACACCCCCTTCCTTGTCTAGGCTTGTATTTTCTTCTCTCCCATCGGGAGGTCAGGTCTTTGCCAGGATTCACATGCCATTAAGGCCCACTCTCAGTGCCCTCTGGTGACCACACATACCATTCCCCCGCCTCTCAGCCAGCAGGCAGCTGTGATAGCAGAAGGGCAGGGTGACATGGGCCAAACGTTGGGGGCAGAGCAGACTGTGTAGGTGACAGAGGAGGGTAAGATGACGCCAAGGGAAAGAAAGAGCCTGGGGTGGGTTGAGGGACTGGTCTAATTAATGGGAATAAAAGCTAATTGACAGGCATCAGTTCCTGTCATTTCTGTTGAAAGCGGTCCACTCCCCCACTTCCTGTCCCTCAGGCAGAGTAGCCTACAGCATCCCCTAAAACCAACAACCATCAGTCCAGGACTAAACATGTTGGCCTCAGCCTTTGTGCTTCTAGGGGTAGGCTGGGATTATGGAGACTGCTCCAGGACTTGGCTTGGTGAAAATTTGTACAGTCCCCTTTTTTGACAAAATTACCCGAACTCAGTGTCTAGCACATAGCAAATTCTTGTTGAATGGATACATTTCAACTGCAGACTGACTCTCCTGCCTTAAACTAATGGGATCCCAGCCTGGTCTCCTGACGCCCATGCTTCTCATGCGATGCCGCGTTGAAACATTTCCCGAGGGCTTACTGTTCCCCCACCACAGTACAATCTAGGATGTAGTCCCAGTCTTCACAGAGATAGGAAAGCTGAGAAATCCATATGAGATTATTACCAATGACACCACTAATATATATGATGCTTAAACATTTTCAAGGCACTTTCATGTATTTTTCGTGTGACTTAGTGAGACACCATTGTATAAAATTAAAATATATACAGATGCAATAATGTTAATAGTTAGGATTTATTAAATGCTCTATCTTCAGATCTTTACATGGACAATCTCATTTCTTTCATATAATCACTCTGTGAGATATTATTCCCAGGTGATGGAGAAGAAAACAGAAAGCCAGAAAAACTAACTTTCTTGAGGTTGCATGGCCTTACGGGACATGGCTAGGATTGAGCCAGATCTGTCTGACTCCAGAGCTCTGGCTACTAACTGCCCTGTGCTTAGTTGCCTCTTTGTTGGACAGTAACAACAATTTGAGCAGAAAACTTTGCATTACGTTGGAAAATGCTCAACATGTCTGCCCTGCTCGCCTTACATTTACACACGCAAGACAGAAAGAGACCAGAAGCCAGAAGCCCGAGCAGTGACCAGCCAGACGACAAGTAGGGCCCAGCAGTAATGTCTGTTTGCTGGTCGTTCTATTTGCTGATGGGGCAGCCTGAATCTGAACAGCCCACCTGGCATTTCCTCACTGCATGGCCAGCAGTGGGAAAGGATCACAATTATAGGCAAAGACTGAAGAGAAACATGAAGTTAATGATGGGTTATTTGTTTTAGTAGTGACTTTGACACTGCAAGACCCAATCACTGCTGAGGGGCCCAGAAGCCAACAGCACAGGTTTTATCCACACAGCTCCCCGAACACTTTCTATGGGGGCTGCAGGAAGGTGCTAGAAATATCCAGAGGTCCACAGTGACGCTGGAGAAAAAAGAAAAGGAAAAAGCCATCCCAGGTACCACATTCCCTGCTTCCGTCCCCACCTTCGAACCATATCCTGTCTTCTTCCCTCAAACTGACTTCACACGACCCCAACCCAAAACTGCTCTCAACCCTGGCATATGCCTGTGGCCATCCCCTCCACCCCCATTGCCATCCCCAAGCTCAGAGTTTATAAGTTGACAAACTATTAGGATCTGAAGGATGAAAATGAGATCCGAGGGGATCTACAGAATGAGTTCCAACTGGCAGGCTCCTCCTTTGTTCTTCAATGCATTAGGAATGATTGACGCACTTAACTCCCAACAAAGGGGCCAGAGAGAAGGCTTGCTTGAATGAATGCATTGGGTCAGGGCTATACTCAGAGGGATAAAATCATTGTCACCCCAAAGAGAATGCCTAGAAAGCACAGTAAGGTGAGGACAAGTGTATAGCCGTTGTCTTATCCAGTGACTCAGATACATATGCTCGTGGGAACTCCATCCACTGTGCCCCAGACTTAAGTGATGCCCCCCTGGGGTATTAGTTAACACTAAGGGGTGGCAGGGCTGAATTTTCCTGCATTTGTCTTCAGAGGGCTGTTTAATCTTCCTTCTTCCATATTTCCCCAAATCAAGGACTGTACTCGAATTCCAAACTTGGTGGGTGTCATTGTTGCACTGCGTAGACGACAGCACTCCTCATTGTCATCTGCCTGGACTTTTGTGAGAGACCCTTTGACATAAAACTCACACTTTTGTTGCGTTACAAAACCCTCCCACATGTATTGTAGAACATTTAAGGAAAGTTAAGGATGAAACCCAGCCCATCTAACAACCACACTTTTATCCTTTTGGCCCATTTTTCATTCTCCTTGGTATAAATGTGGACACACGCTCTCACCGGTTTTTGTTTGTTTTTTAATGAAGAAAACTGGATCGTGCTGTATATACTCTTTAATAACTTACTTTTCAAATGTGTATTTATATTTTAGAATATGCAATATATGCACAGATAGACAAAATTCAAATAGTACACAAAGTCTGTAGTTGAAAGTAACTCTTTTTCCCTTGTCGGCTCACAGCTAGTTTCCCTCTGGTTTCTTGTGTACCCTCCTAAAGATACGTGTTTTTTTTTTTCAAAGCGATGTATATATATTCTTTTATTACTCACGTGCAGTAGCACATCAGATACTTTTTCCTCGGTTGCCTTGTGTAGTACATCATGGACATTTCGGCATGTCTTTTGGGTTTTTCTGCTAGCATCTTCATGATATGGGTGGATCTTTATTCTGTAACCTGTCCACAAATACAGATGGTTTCACTTGGTCCCAATCTGTATTGTAAATAACGTTGTAACTGACATTCTTGTCGCTAAATTTTGCACATGTCTATGACGAGTTCCTTAGGATATAATCCGAGAAGGAAATTGCTTGGCTATTTTCAAGGATTTTGATACATGTTGCCAATGCCCTGTAGAGAGTTTGTACCAAAACACTGTCCTGTTTGCGGCCCCCAGAGTGCCATGCTCTCTGGGCCCTAACAAGTACTAGGTATTATCACTTACCACATCTTTGCCAATTTGATAGGCAAATGACAGTATGTCAATGCTATTTCAACTTATTGCTTTAACTTTCTTTGATGATTGGTGAAGAACATTTTCATATGCTTATTGGCCATTTGTATTTCCTTCCTTGTGAATTTTCTATTTATTTGATATTGGTATGTTTATCTTTATCTATGTTTATCTTTATTATCTGTTTGTAACTTTAAGAATATTATTTTCATCAAGAAATGCTGCGGATATGCTTTCCAAGTGCTTTGCTTTCATTTATGGTGCTTTTTGACATACATAAATTCCTAATTCTGCAATTAATCTGTTCTATATTGCTAGCTTTTCCTGCCTGTATCTTAGACCCTCGTGTCTAAGAGGCAATCCGAGCAGATGTTCCCACAGCTTCAAAATGCTTCGTCATGTCTCATCGCTCCTAAGATAAAAATCAAACCTCTTAACATAACACTACCATCCAGCTCTAACTTTAGCAGGCTCACCTCTGGCCCTCTCAAGGTATCCTCCACTCCATAGCCATGTAGTCCTGAGCCACTGAGCTGGGTCTGTGGGACTTTCCATCCTGGCCCCTGTGCCTTGTTGGACATTCCTCACACTTCACCCCATCTTTGCCCTGTCACTCTTGTAAGCGCTAACCCAGGGTCACTCTCCAGACCTTAGTCTGTGTTCCTAAAGCAAGGCCTCCCTACCTCTGCCCAGTGTCTGCCACAACTAGTCAGAATGTCCTCTTTACATCCACCTCTCCCCTGCCTGAGTGTCCCAAAGCAGGCGCTCAGGTTTCTTTGCAGCTAGAATGTCTGACAATTGTAGATGTTTGGAAGCTGTTGAGCACAGGACCTGCAATGGACAGTGGATTCGGCCGTAGATATTGCTTGTGGTAGAATGCAGGGCTGGGCTAGATTTGTGCTTCTGAGAAATGAGAACTTCCTGTAAGACTTGAGTTGGCAAAGAAGCCGCGTACTCCAGTCCATGCTTTCCAAAACACCATAATCACTTAAGCTTTTTAAAAGTACATGCTCTCAGGTTCAGCCTCAGACCTGATGAATCAGACTTACAGGGATAATGCCCAAGACATTAGAGTGCTTAGAAAGTTCTGATGACCAGGCATGTTAAGGGGCCAGCCCTGATAAAGACCAGCAGACTCATTCCATTGGCTCCATCACTTCAAACCACGTGATGTCTTACAGTGGACAGGTGAAGTTTTATCAGAGGTAGTTGCTTAATTTTCTGACTCTCGTTTTCCTAACCTACGTAGAAGGGTGTTGTGAGGATTAAGAAATAACTGACTCCCAGCTAGTGTCTGCAACAGAGCGCAGAATAAACAATCATTTCTCCCCCTACCCTATTCTGCCTCAATTTTCCTCATTTACAGTGTGACGGTACCTCTATGCCTGCCCTCCCGATTCTTTTTTTTTTTTTTTTTTTTTTTTTTTTTTTTTTTTTTTTCGAGACAGGGTTTCTCTGTGTAGCTTTGCGCCTTTCCTGGAACTCACTTGGTAGTCCAGGCTGGCCTCGAACTCACAGAGATCCGCCTGGCTCTGCCTCCCGAGTGCTGGGATTAAAGGCGTGCGCCACCACCGCCCGGCCCCTCCCGATTCTTACACCCCGCGCTCTAAAAGCCCTTGTGTAATTCTGGGCAAAGAGGTGGTAGGAAACAGAGCGAGCCCCATATGGAGTCTTCATGCCCTCTCCACAGCAACCGATGGGAAACATTCCAATGACTTTCAGAACCCGCTGCCCTCGGGTCATATCCAAAGAGCAACACCATTTTCTTCCTGACAATCCACCCAAGAGAACAAGCAGCCTCTGCACTATAAGAAAGCAACTATTAGGAAATAGAAGGGAAATTGCCCACTCTCCTTCCAGTGTCCTTGGTATCCCCATCACGTGACCATCGTGCAGTCAAACCACTGATGGGCCAGCTGCTTTGGGTAAGATGTTTCCCCCTCTGCATCCAGCACCAGGCAGCCCGAGGCAGGTGGTGGAGGCAGAGAAAATGCACTCTGTCCATCAGGCATGGCATAGTTCAAATTACAGAGTCAGCATGAAAAGTCCCACTCTAAATGGACTGAAATTGGATTCTATTAAAAACCGCATGAAGCAATGCCTTCGGCTATTAATATTTGCTAAGACATAGAAGAGGGAGAGGAGGGTGGAGGCCTCTGAAGAAGGTTGGGACTCAGCTGCTGTTGAATAGCTTCTCAGGAAGGAGACCTACACTGGTCTGTTTTTAAAGTCTCAAAGAAGGTTAGGCATGGAAGGAAGCAGGAAGTGAAATCGCTGTACCCTCATATGTATTCGACTGGTCAAATTCAGTCTGATGACCTATCCAAGGTCACACAGCTTGTAAGTAGTTCAGTCAGAACTGGAACGTGGGCCGGTTTCCTGATGACAAACAATACTCTTTCCCCTAAACCAAAATATACTCACAAAGCCCCTAACTTAAAAACCGTGTATTTTAATGTTGTGAATTGTTTTGCTCGAAAGGAAGTAGAGACAGTGTACTCACTGGTTTATCCCTCCACTCGGCACTTGTCCCCGCCTGCTTTTCAGAAGGTCCAGTGGTTAGCAAGGAGCTACCTCTGCCTGCAAGACTCACAGGACACTGGCAAGAGGGGAAGTAAGCAGTGCCAGTTCATGTGGGAAGTGTCACCAAAGATAACGGGGTACACATACAGAGGGACATCTATACCAATCCTGAGGGAGCAGGGAGGTTTTCCTGGGACAGCCTGGATGGTAAAGGAGAGAGTTTGCATGCTGGTTCTTTGCTACCTTTTTAGGTCCAAAGACTAAGAAATCACAGAAGACGGCAGTTTTAGCTGGTCAGGTCCCTCAGGCAGCTGTTTGTGTTCTGTTTGAATATAGTTAGAAATTTTAAGACTAGTGCTTCCCACAGCTGGGAAGATGGCTCAACCAACCAACCAATCAATCAATCAATCAATCAATCAATCAATCAATCAATAAATAAATAAATAAATAAGTAGGTAAATAAATGCAGACGGAGTTCGAGGACCTGAATTCAAATCCTCAGGTGCATATCTGTAATCCCAGCACTCAGGAGGTGGAGACAAGAGGATCCCTGGGGCTTACTGGCCAGTCAGTCTAGCTAAATCAGTGACTGTGGTCCTTTGAATGAAAAGGCCCCCCATAGGCTCCTAGGAAGTGGCACTATTAGGAGGTGTGGCTCTGTTGGAGTAAGTGTGGCCTTGTTGGAGAAAGTGTGTCACTGCAGGTGGACTTCTAGGTTTCAAAAGCTCAAGCCAGGCCCAGTGGCTCACTCTCTCTGCCTGCTGCCTGTGGATCCAGATGTAGAACTCTCAGCTACCTCTCCAGCACCATGTCTGCCTGTGTGCCTCCTTGCTCCCCCCCCCCCCATGACGATAATGGACCAAACCTCTGAACAGGAAGCTAGCTCCTTTGTAAGAGTTGCTGTGATGGGTCACCTGGCCGGAGCAACTCTAAAGCCTTCCAGGTAGCCTTTCCAACCCTAACAACCCTCACTCCACACGTCAGAGAACCTCTGTGAGAATCGTGGCACCTTCTAAGTCTATCTGTCCCAATTATACATTCTGGAACTGGGGAAACAGGCACAGGATGAGTTTGAGGGCCCAATGGACCTACTGTGAGTCAGACTTCAGCTAATACTCCATTAACCACCTGGCCCCCATAAGCCCATATTTTAACTGGAGGGCCACAGTGTTTCTTGGGATCCCCTGGAATCAGTGTCAATTCAGAACCAGTATCCAGCAGACCCGGGAAAGTCTGGCTGTTTCCATTCTCCCAACGTACAGTTAAGTCCTGGTTCAGGGAGAGAGTCTGTCTCCAAAAATAAGGGAGAGCATGTTAAAAGACACCCAATGTTGACCTCTGCCCTCCGCATGCACATGTACACACATGTGTACACATGAGCATGTACACAGACACCACAAACACAGACGTTTTTAAAGACCTGATTTCCCTGAGGGGGAAAATCCTATAACAGGTTTCATACACTGTAGCTCCCATAAGCACCTTGAATGAATCCTGACATTGTCAGTTCTCACATCTCAGCCTCTTTACTCTATCTAAAGTGGTACTGTGTGTTAGATACATAATGTGACCATCTTCTTTCTAGTAGTCCCAGATTAAAAGGTAAAAGCGAAAGCAACCTCCAATAATAGAGTCTATTAATAAAAACAAAGCTAAGAAAACTGCCAAAAATATTCAGAAACAAATTCCACAAAAGAAGTACAAAATTAATACTCCAAATACTGCCAAACATTGCTGGAAGGAGATGGAGGAGCCCAAATAAGTGGAAATATATCTCGTGTTGATGACATGGAAGACTCAAGCTTGTCCGATGCCAATCCTTCCAGCCAGATCTAGAGATTCAACACTGTTCCTATGGCTGACAGAATGATCCTAAATTTCCTATAGAGAGTCAAAGAATCTAGAATGATCAATCTAAAAGCAGAAACAAAAGAGTATCAGGGACTGGAGGTGTGACGCAGTGGTTAAGAGTACTCACTGCTTTTTCTGGGGACCCAAGGGTGGTTCCCAGCACCCACATCAGGTGGTTCACAACCACCTATGACTTCAGTTCCAGAAGATCCAATACTTTCTTCCGGCCTCTGAAGACACCTGCCACACACACACATCCTCTCTTAAATAAACTCAAAATTACATCTCTTGCTATCAAAACTTACCGTGGAGCTGTAATAATGAAGACAATGTGATATTAACAGAAAGGGGGACAGTAGACCAATAGAACAACAGAATAGAATGAGAATTCAAAAACAAGCCCTGACATTTACAGTAAATCGATTTTCTACAAGGGTACCAAGACAACTGAGTGAGGGCAAAACTGTCTTCTCAACAAATGGTGCTTAGTTGACAAGATACCCTGTGCCAGGAAATGATGTGAGACCATCACACTACACACAGGAATCCACTCAACATGGACTGTTTTCTTGAATGTAAGTGCCAGCATTAGAAAATCCTTTGTGACTAGGGTTAGGTAATGTCTCCAAAACATAAGCAACAAACAAACAAACAAAAATGATAAACCAAACTTCACTGAAAACGGAAAATGTACTTCAAAGGACACTTTCCAGAAATGACAGCCCACAGAAGTTTGGGGAGGCTGCAATTAGTGTGTCCAAAAAAAAAAAAAACTATATCCAGAACGTATAAAGAACTATTACAACTTGGCAGTGAGCACAACCTGATTTAAAAAGGGATAAGCAATCTGAATACACGGTACTCCAAAGAAAATAGGCAAATGCCAATACCCACATTAGCAGATGATCAATAACATCAGTGAAGTG